AACTTTAGCCCCCAATAAACTACAATCTCCTGCCAACAGATAAGGACAGATAGGGAGGTCAGGGCCTGGGATTCATCCCAACAACAAGCTTTTGATCAAAGATGTGATAAAGAGCTTGCTGTAGATCACCTCCTGATTTTCACTATTGATTGGCTGCTAACATTTGGGTTTGTAGTGTTGGAGAGAACACAATGTTCCCTGAACTCTGCCGACGCTGATATGCATGCTGACTGAATGCTGATCAAAGGTCTGTGGTACGAGCACGCAGGACGACACACAAATCTCATATTTTTATATCGACAAAACAAAGAACTGCTTTCTTTTTTTTTATGCTGATTTATTTCAGATGATCCAAGTGATGAAACCTTTAAAGCCGAAGAGTCAGATGTGCCTGCTGATTTGGACTGATTAGAAGAATTGTCTGAGTGGGTGTTTGCTAGTTTTTATTTTTTGAGAACTATTGGGCAGTTAAATCCAAATGGCAGTGTGTCTTGTATTCAAAACCACGGTGCTTGCTTCGGTCAGATCTGGGTATGCAAAGCAATAAAGTTCAATTTCTGTTTTTTATTTCAGCATCTGTTGAAAGTCTGTTGCATCATATACTTCTATACATGAAAGACAGTCTGTGAATTATAGTGAGTGTATCTAAGAGTTTGCATCACATAAGGAGCCTTTTCTAAATGTAATTCTGCATCTGCCCCAAGAGAGGATGATGGTGTTGACGATGGTGACCTTGCGGTTGTAAGAAGAGGAGTTCTGCCGAGACAGCACGGATGTTCAAGCTGAGACGAAACCTCGACCAGCTGACGTGCTGAAAGCCAGGTCTGAACCTGGCACTGACAGACCTCTAGAGCTACAGAAGCTCCTTACCTACATTTTGTGAACCTTTCTAGACTCCACACAAACCAGTACCAGTAGAAAAGCTTTTTTATGAGAATTTAAAAAAAATACACAGGCTTTTGCCCAGTCTTTTCAAAAATGTTCCCGTTTTATTCCATTTTTTTCTGCTCCTGCCCTTTTCACACGAGGCCAATCATATCTGTTCCAACTGATTCGGCAATTTGTAGAAAATGATTTCAGCCGAGGACAGAACATTTCTTATAATGTCCTTTCTCCCCACTTTCCTTCCGTCTTTTTATTTGTCTGGACCATGAGCCATTGAGCACCTGATGAACTGTGATGCAGTTCCATGGAAAATGTCTGTCATCTTCCTTTAGCACTGTGTCTTCTTTATCCTGTGTTTTTTGTTCTCCAGAGAAAAGCTAAAACTCTGTCAACAGAATATTCAAAGTTTGTTGGAGCAGAGGGATAACTTGGAGAGAGAGATAGAACAACAGAAAGTAACAGACAACTGCTTTCATGGTAGCTCCTGTCTGACTGTCACCACACATGACCAACTGTTGATGGGATTTAAGCCTCAGTCTAACTGAAATGCTGTGGCAGGATCTCTCAGAGCCACGTGGAAGAAAACGTTCACAAATATCAATGAACTGAAGCCAAAGAAGACTCGACCAACATCCCCCCACAACGATGCGACACTCATAACTCACACAGAAAACAGGAACTTCAAGTTATTGGTGCTAAAGTCAAATCAGCTCTGGACTCAGCTGATATGTGCCTACAGAGCTCGTGTTCACTGAGAGAACAGAGTAAAAGCCCTTTATCATATGTTTAAACCTCACATTAGGATAATCTGACTGCAGCATCACTCTGTGGCCTGGATGGGCTTCATTTTATTAGTGTTCAAACATCCATTTCCCCTGATGTGAGTTCGTTTTATCAACCGTTAGATCAGTGGTTCTTAACCTGGGTTCGACCGAACCCTAGGGGTTCGGTGAGTCGGTCTCGGGTTCGGCAGAGCCTCCGCCATGACGTGCACGGCTCATTTTGTGCACCAGTAAAAAAAATCACATTTTATTTTTCACTAAAGAGTAGGGCTGGGTATCGTCACTGATTTCTAGAATCGATTCAATTCCGATTCACAAGGTCCCGGATCGATTCGATTCACGATTCGATTTAATTCGATTCTACTTGATTTGAATCTGGGAAATTTTGACAGAAATATTATAATTCAGATCAGTACATTTACATATTTTTGTATCTATAAAAAGGAAGCTGACACACGTAAGACTTTATAAAGGTGTGAGCGTCACAGCGAGGCCTTTGTGACAAAGTAGCTGAAGATAAAACACAGAAAAACATGAAGGAGATTTTCCTGTTCTGGGATTTTATAAAAATATTCTGCAGTACATCAAAAACGAAAGAAAACCATTAATCAACACATGATTGTAATCTGAAGTTACAGCGGTTTTATTAGAGACACGGCTAAGCATTTTGCATCATTTTAAAAAGTTTACATTTGTTCAGTATTGAACAGCAGAAATTAGGTTTTCTTTTCGGAAGTATATAAAACGAAAAAAAAAACAAAAACGTCAGCCGACAGCCTGTAAACAACGGTAGTCTTGTGCGTAACAAGTAAGCGAATAATGCAGAGAACAGATTTG